TCCATACATACATCAATTGTGTAAAGCGCATTTGTACATTCATTGCCCTCATCATTCTCAAAACATTTCCTCTCCACTTAAGCCCCTGGCATTAGCTCCCCATTTTTCCCCTCCCTCCCCTCTCCCCCCTCCCCCAAGAGCCCTTGATAATTTATAAAATATTATTTTGTCATATCTTGCCCTGGGTGACAGTCTTTTTTTTACGTGTGTGACAGTCTTCAGAATTGGAGGCAAGGGTGGGGCAGCTATCAGGGACTGAGGGAAACCTGGAGGTGGAAAAGTACTGGGGGTGAAGAGGCAGGAAGATAGAAGACAGGTGTGCAGGGGTGGTTCTGAGTCCCCAGGTGTCTGGGAGGAGGTGTGGAGTTGAGCTCCTTTCCCTTGAAAGGGCACTCTTTTCCCAAAGAGCAAGCACACTTCAAACTGTAAGGGGCAGGTTTGATTTTTTTCCCCCTAAGAAAACACTCTTGGGCACTGCCTGCCTATCGGGTTTTTGCTCTGAAGCCTCAGACCTCTGTAGGGGAAGGGGCTGTGTTGGGGAGCTTCTTCGCCTGGTAGCTGGAGGGCCCGGTCCCTTCTTTGCACCAGCATATGCTCACCACCTTTCCTCCATCATTATCCAACCTCAGAGGTGCTGCCATCTCCTTAGAGCTGAGGCTAGGAACCTAGGAGAGTATAGCCCTCCAATCCTCCTTCTCATCAGCCCCCTTCTCTGGAGGGAGCCAGCCTCCTGGCATTCAGTGGGTTCACAGGAAGAGACTCAGGATTCATCAAAGGAGGAGAGTGCTATTGGCAATGGGGTTGACTATCCCTGAAAGCGTCACAGAGAAGGCGATTTGGAGCTTGAAGGGAAAAGGTGAGGAGCAGGCACTTCCTCTCAGGGCTGGTTCAGGAGGCATGGCTGTGCTGGAGCTGACCAGAAGGGGCAGGGGTGGGCTTCCTGGCAGGGTCTCTGCAGCAGTTGGCCTTGGGCAGTCTTCAAAGTCAGGAGACCAATAGGTAAAAGTCTCCTACACCCTCGGGGCTTCTCCAGCCTGAGTGGCAGTGGGAAGCATTCTGCAGCGCTCCAGTGCGTTTGAACTTCCTCAAGGAAGCTCTCAGGCTTACTACATCGCAAAATCCAAACCAAACCACTGAGTTCCACCAAGCAGACTCTGACTCTTCTTCGAGACCCTCTGAGACAAAGTAGAACTGCCTCTCCCCCC